TCCGAAGGGGCCAGACGGCGTAAGAGCGCCTCACGACGGCCCAAAAGGTCCCCAGGAGGCCCCAAGAGGCCCCAAAGAAGCCCCAAAGAGGCCCCAAGAGGACCCCAAGAGGCTCCCAAGAGGCGCCCAAAGCTGCCACGAGGCACAAGAACGACTGGACTGTACGTGCTCCGGACGTGCACCCCGCGAAGCGAGAGGAATCCACGTCCGGAAGTGACGTGTTGCCGGAGGCAGGTCGCGCAGCGGAGCGGAAGCCCTAATGCAACGTATCCTATGTATCCAATGATTGCATAATTGCTTGGTATTGCATTGCATTATATTATTATGTCTCCCCCCCTAACCCCCCCGCCCCAGGCCACGCCACATCCACCGACCCAAAGGTCGTGGACCCCTCCTGGGCTTCAACACCAACATAAACCTACGGGAAACCGATGATTCGGACCCCTTGGGCATCTTGGGGGTCTACGACGACGTCAAGACGGCTCAAGATGGCCCCAAGACGGGCCAAGACGGTCCCAAGACGGCCCAAGATGGCCCCAAGATGGCCCAAGAAGCCCCCAAGACGGCCCAAGAGGGCGCCAAAAACGCCCACAAGAGCGCCTCCAGCGGCCACAAAGTTTGACTCTCCTATAGGTTTTGAACGATTTTAGCGTTCTCGCCTTTTTCGGCTCTGACAAACGGCCCAAGCAGCCTCCAAAATGGCCCCACAAAGACTCGAGAAGCACCCAATGGGGGCCCCAAGACGCCCTCAGAGGGCCCCAAGACGGCAAAAAGACGCCCCCAAAACGGTCCAAGAGGCCCCCAAGACGGCCAACGAGGACCCCAACAGAGCCCCAAGGCGGCCGCGAGGGGCCTCCAATATTGCCTCCGAAGGGGCCAGACGGCGTAAGAGCGCCTCACTACGGCCCAAAAGGTCCCCAGGAGGCCCCAAGAGGCCTCAAAGAAGCCCCAAAGAGGCCCCAAGAGGACCCCAAGAGGCTCCCAAGAGGCGCCCAAAGCTGCCACGAGGCACAAGAACGACTGGACTGTACGTGCTCCGGACGTGCACCCCGCGAAGCGAGAGGAATCGTGTGCGCACGCCCTTGCATCCTGCCAACCAGAACTAAAAACTCTCGAATCGCAGCCGCTGGCGATGCTTACTTGCAAAACCACAACGCACATTGACGACGCGAGGAAAGGCGAATGCATGGGGACGAATGTGGTGCAAAGGTGAGATGGAAGAAGACAAGAATGGATACCATCACGCATCGGTGAATGTCCAAGCCGTTCCACTCTGCAACACGCCGCGCATACTCCGGGTTGGGCTTCCCGAGGCTGACCGCGCGTGTGCCCAGAGGACCGATGCGTCCCTTCCTGGCGGGGGAGGAGCAGACGTGGGAGCAGGGGGGGAAGAGGAGGGGGAGGAAACATAGCCACAACGACCCGAGCGCGTCAGCTCCCCTGCGACCGCCCGCCCTTAACTCACCTTACCGCCAGCACACGGCTGGCTGTCCGCTCCGTCCCTCGTGCAGCGCATGATCCGTCCACTACCACAGAAACCAACGTCCAGAGCCAACAAAGAACTCACATTATGCCTCTGTGGGTAAGCTTGCACTGATAAGATAAGGCGTCATACTCCAGTCTTCCCGCATGGCAGACCCGAACTGGATCGACCTGCGACATCGGATCGGATCGGAAACGGAAGGGATCGCCGACCAGTCGTCCCCAATTGGACCACCGCGCCTGGCTCTGGCAGGCCATGGCCGATGCCAGCGAATCGAACCGAATCGAATCGAGTTGGAATCGCAGCCCCAGCCAGCGAATCGAATCACATCGAATCGGATTGCAGGCGGCCCTGGCTCGTCCCCAGGGCAAGCGTACCCGTCGGTCGGAAGAAGTGGGTGGAAACACGAAGTAGAAAAGCGCTGGAAGTAGATTGGGCTTCCGCCCGCACCCCGAAGAGGAGGGAAGAGGGAAAACCAATCGACTCTTGAAGTAGGAAGGCGCCCAGAGCAGATTAGGACCTGGGAATCCAAAAATACCTACTTTCAACGACTGGCATGTTGATCCCCAGACCCATGGGGCCGCCGTCCCGAGCGAGCAGCTCGATCTTTTGCCCACCCCTCGCGCGTGCTCTGGGGCCCGACCCCCCGTCACCGAGAGGCCGAGGCGGTGCGGCGCGTGCCTCACAGCCAAGGATGCACGAAGCCAGGGACACACAAATAAACAGACACAAATCCCGGGATTCCCCTACATGTTTCCACATGTTCTGGAGTTTCGTCTTCCCCCCCCACTACCCCGTATTTTCCTGTATGTTCCTGGGGGTCGACGTTGATGTGTATCTCCGTGTTATGTCCCTCCTAAAACAGTTCTGCAAAAGAGCGCGCGCGTTGCCGTGCACGGTATGCTCATGTCGTGACGACCTGCTCGGTGGCCTCCGACAACGCGTGGATCGCTAAACCTTGATCGATCGCGGCTTCCCGATAGCGCGGATCGTTCGATTATTGGCCGACCCTGGGCTACTGTCGGTGATCAATCTTGAACGCCCGCGTTGGGGTCAGCGCGGTTTCGACACGAAACCAACCTGTCGTAAAACGCCTGTTCCCCGGAGTCCTCCCTCGAGAACGTTGTCTTCCTCGCACGCGTCTATTGATCACTATCAACCCGCCACCGTACCCCCTGACACTTTGAGGCTTAGTAGACTACAAAGTGGTTGGGAAAGCTCGTGAGGGCCTCCCCCATCTCATCACAAAGTGCCGTGTGCATACCTCAGCTTCTCCCGAGGATTCCTGGGCGCAAGGACGCATCCCTGGGGCCCTCCAAGACTCTCGAAGGCTGCCAGGACGGCCTCGGAAGGCCGCCAAGATAGCCTATAATTGCCTCAAGACGCACTCAAGAGCCCATAAGAAGCACCCGACAGACCCCTACGAGAGTCCCCACGACACCCCCAAGAGACTCTCCAGAAGACCCTCGAGAGGCCCAAACATTGATTTCCCCAATGTGTTTCAATGTGTTTCGCCTTCCACGCTCTTCCAGCGACGATCGGTTCACTTGCGGCCTTCGAAGCCACTGAGAGCCCCAAGACGGCCCCAAGAGGAGCCCCAGATGGCCGAAAAATGCCGAGGACGGCAGGAGGGTCCGAAGACGGCCCACGAGGGTCGCAAAGGGTACCCAAGACTGCTCCACCAGCCTCAAGACGGCCCCAATCAAACCCGTGAGCTCTCCAGCCTCAAAAAGTGGAGATGAGAGGCGTTACATATGAAAGCCTTCTCGAAAGGCCACCACACAGAGCAATTCGCTCGCAAGGTGGCCGGTTTGCCGCAGGCAGCTGGATATTCTTCTTGCAAGGCGAATTCCCAAAACTGCTCCACCCTTACGGAAACTTTGGCAGGCCGCAAACGGAGGCCCCAAAGCAGACCAGCCCACATCACGCCACCCTGCACCTTCCTGCCCGAGGTGGTGGGGATGCCCAGTCCTGTGCGCTGCGCATGCGTCACATGCAGCCTTGCGGGTGGTAAGAAACATAACAACAATCGTACCTCGATCAACCGCAACACTGTCGCAAATGAGGCAGTGAACACGATTGATACTTGAAGCTGTTGGTTTTCCTAGTCATTGTGCGCGTCAACACATCCCCAGACACACGCACCCACCCACCCACCTACTCAGCTACTCACCCACCCACCCACACACGCTCAGCTGACTCCAAACCGCAAAAGCAACGCAACGGGCCAAGTTTGCTTCGAATTGACTTCCTTATGAAGACGTGCAGCAATCGAGGCAAGACACACGCGCACGCACAGACTCGTTCCTCCGACACGCCGCTGAGTTGAAAACGACAGAAGCATTTTAAAGGGACATGTTTACCACGAGTTAGCTTTCTTGTGAAGCAGGCCGGTAGTCTGCCCCCCCCCCCCACACGCGCACTGGTTCCTCCTCTGGCGCTGTGTGTCACGAACGCGTGGCACGCTGACCCGATGTTCATGTCAGATGATCTCTCACACACGCACACCACAACAGCAAAAAAAAAGCGCGCACACACACAGACGCGCACACACACACACACTTGAGCGTCGCGGCCTCGTACGCAGCGTAGCGGCGTACAAGGTCCGAGAGCTAGAAGCGAGGCACGTAGAACACACACACACACACACACACACACACACGCACATTCGCACACACAAAGACACACACGCACATACATGCGCACCTTGTCCACGAGGGGCGGAAGCGATGCAAAGGCGAGGGCATCCATCTGTAATTGATCGTCATGACGATGTCGCAAGGCTGAAACACACTGCGAGGGGAGCGAGAGCGCACTGGATCCCCATGGGCACACTAGAGCGAGGGAAGAGAGAGGGCCAGAGAGAAGATGAAGCGAGGAGAGAAGCAGGAAACACATCTGACTGTTCCAGCGCGACTTATGTTTGCTGCGTTTGCTCCCTCAACCTCCCCTCTCCTCTCCCTCCTCCTTTTCCGAGTCGGGGCCCATTGCAAATATTTGACTCCCTTGCCCTTACCCGTACAAGACGCTCAACGGCCTCCGTGGACAGAATATCGGCCACACTGCCGGGATACATTCCGTTCACGTTCTTTGCGCTTTCATTCCCCTCAGCTTGCCTCCGTCTTCTCCCAGGAGCAAGAAGCGCGAAATGAGACTAGAGAGAGAAGAGGGGAGGAGGGAGACGAAGGAAAAAAAAGGAGAGGAGCAACAAGTGCTCGGACCGTTAGAACGGTTATGAGCACACATGCAAGCAGAAGCCGAAGCAGGGCAACGATGGCAACCACTCTGCAGGGAAGCACCCGGAGAAGGTCGAACACACTAGAACAAGAAGCGGGCCAAGCCTCGATCGCGGGTAACAAGCAGCCGTTCCCAGGGAGTAGACAGTCGCCCACCCTGGGCGGAGCGGGCCGCAGGGAGCAAAACTGCAGTGGCTGCGGTTGCGATGACAGGGCGACGACATTGACCACGAGCATGACTGCGACGATGACTGCGGTCCTGACCAAGGAGAAAGCGCGGTTCACGGGCGCTTGGGTGCGAGGCAGTCCTCGACACGCCGAAATTCGCCCCCCCAACCCCCCCAAACATCCCAAGCGCCCAGCGCACCAGAACCTCCACCAGCCTCCCCACACCCCGACACGTCGATGCCGATAATGATGAAGTTGTGCTAGGGGAATTAAGCGGCGATGCCACCTGTTCGTCCATCTGAGCTCGGCACCTGAGCGCCTGTCACCCACGCTCTCGGTCGCCAATCCATCGACCGATTCTGGGCCGCCGCTGGCGCTCAACGTGGAACGCTGGCGGCGGGGTCACCGCCGATCGACACGACGCGAACGTGCCGTACACCATCGTGGGGCCCAGGACAGGGCTCGCGCTTAACAGTGTTCTCGTTCGGTCTTCGCTCTCCTTCGATCTGTCCTCGTTCCACCTTTTTGCTGCAAAGCCAAAGATCAGAACGAGAGCGGTCCGCGAGATCGGGCCCAGAATGGCCACGGCCAGGCGCGGTGGTGGCAGATGGAATGCCTCCAGCGGATCTGTACAATCGGACCTAGGCCAGAAGAGCATAAGACAAAGCCAGGACGAGGATTACATCGGGTGAGGATACGTCGTGATACTTCGAGAATCTCTGAAATCTGGCGGATCTGAAGGATGTCTTGGGCGCCGCGGTCTTCTCAGAACGTTCTGGAACGTTCTCAGGCGTTATGGAGTGCTCTGAACGGATTGATCCTCGTTCTAGCCCCGTCCGGGTGATAGCGTGATGGCAAGATGGACTCAACAGGGTCAAGAGAACGGACACGTACTCCCATGCCAAGCGCTGTAATATTCTGCTTTTCGCACGGGCATTTGTACACTGTGACTGACGGAAGCGCGAGTTCTCTGAGCGGCCGCGCATGAATCAGGGCCCTCCTGATCCGTCGTGTCCATTACATCCGAAGTTGTCTGGTTTCCCGAAACAATACGACGCCCAAATCCCCGCTCTTCGCTACCGCGCCGATGGTCATCCGAGAGAACATCATCCATTCACACCCGAACTCCGTCAAACAGATGCAAACGTACAGCGCTACGCGCAATCAGCCGAAGAACATTCGACGGCACTGACGTGCACACGTTTGCCCTTTCGGCGCTCAAAAGTGGCAACAAACCGACTCGGGCACCCGAAATCGCCCACATATGGTACCTGCACGCCTAGTTGGACGCCCGACATGGGTACCGAAAAAATGGGCACGATGCCCAACAACAAATGTTGTCCCAAACCAACAGCGGCCGCTGTTGGGCAGGCGGCCTTCTGTCTCAAATGTGCACAAGCCGCGGCGACACCGACAGCGAGTCTTGTTCAAAATGAACAGGAACCGCTGTTGGGCATTGTACCCGTTCTTTCCGTACTAATTTCGGGCGTCCAGAGCCTAAGCTGATGCGACTAGCCCCGCTGAGTCCGGGCCTGGTAAATCAACGTGCGAAACGCTGTACAAGACTGGACGGAACCTGCACTTGCAACTGGGAAGCCGTGAACGCGGCAGTGTGCCATCCTTTAACGCGTGTGTCATGTTCTCAGCGTTGACTGCTGCAACTCACGGGTCGCATGTTCAGCGATTGCCCTCAACCACAAGAGCAGTCGCAGCTGCTGCTGAATCTGAAGAGCGGCCTACCCCAGTGAACCCAAACCACAAGCGAAACCAGAAGTGAAGGTACGGCGGGTTCGTGTAGTGACGACGTTGGCGCTGGTTTCTGACACCGCGTGGATCTTTCAACGTTTAACGATCGCGAACGCGCTGAAGTTACCGCGGCGTCGGCACGGCGCGAGCCCACCGCATTTGAATAGTTAGAGATGTGTGTTCGAAAGATTGTGAACAGCTTCCAGACAACTCACTCTGACCACAGCGAGTATTATCAAGTGCGTTTGGCGTTTGTGTCTTTATCTCTCTGCTGTTCTCTTTCTATGTATGTATGTATATATGCATATATATGTATGTCTGTACATGCATGTGTATACTATATGTACTTTATTTATTTATATATACATATATGTGTGCCCCAGCCCGTCCCCCTCTTTTTTGCGGCTCGGCCAGAGAGCCTTGTTCAGGAGGGAGCGGGGGCCTTAGTGCTACTGGGGGCCCATGGAGACGCCTGAGCATGGAGCCCCCGGGGATCTGAGCATACACACGGCGCCAGCTTCGCCGGCACGACCGTGCTGTCCCGGACCCGGGGGCCCAGGCAGAGACACGGGAGGTGGCCCAAGATGACTACGGAGTCCAAGGACGGCTGAACCGCTCATACACGGAGGGACATGGGGCATAATCTTCTCCGGGTGATGCCATATGCCCCAACCCGTCCCCCTGTTTTTTGCGGCTCAGCCAGAGAGCCTTGTTCAGGAGGGAGCGGGGGCCTTAGTGCTACCGGGGGCCCAAAGAGACGCCTGAGAATGGAGCCCCCGGGGGTTTGAGCGTACACATGGCGCCAGCTTCGCCGGCACGACCGTGTTGTCCCGGACCCGGGGACCTTCAGGACCAATCTCCCGGCCACCAGGGTGCACACTAGGACCACGCTACCCTTCCATGGACCCCATTTCTGTCCTGTAAGGACGTTCCCCCCATGCCCTCCCTAGCCTGGATTAAACCTAGCCGCCTACCTGACAAGGGAGGAGGAGGGGAGGGGCATGAGAGAGTGTCTATAAGGAAAAGTGAGGTAGGTGGAGCGGGAAAAAATAGCGGATCAGGAGCGACGCGAGTGTCCGAGCGCCCCGAACGTCGGCTTCCTGTGGCTCGCTGAGCTGGCATGCGGCCAGCGCTGCAACTGCATCTCGCACATATACTCGGGCTGACTTGGCAGAGGCCCATCGCCCTTTGAGGAGCGTTTCCTTTAACGATCCGTGGGCGAGAAAATCAGCTGTGGCCAGCACTCTTCTGAAGGGGTAAAGGGTGACCTTCCTTTCTTCCAGCCCCAGTGCGGCGACAGCCCGCCTGAAGAGGCGGCCAAAACTCGCCGCGTGTCAGTCCGAGGGGCTTTTCGTCTGGACCGAGCGGTCCGACGTGAGTTTGTGGCAGGCGAGCGGCGGTTGCTGAACACGCGACCGCCAGCACAGCGCGGCCTCCCCGCAGGCCGGTCTTCGCCCCACGAGGAGCCAGGATAGCGGTGGAGCGCGCGGGGAAAAATCGGACGCCCTGCCGCTGGAGCCCAGCATCTCGTCCGACTTTCAAAAAGCACGAGTAGCCACGCATGAGGAGCGCAGCCGCGCGGCCGTGGCCCCACTAGTGGACGGCCCCGGCGATGGCTGCTGCAAACAGGGGCGACCGCGGCAGGGCCCGCTTGTCGGCCCCAGCCACAAACGCGTCTTCTGCAGCTTGCAGCCCAGCTTGGGCTTGCCACTGAGTGGCGGCGCGACGCAGGCCACGGCTGCCAAACCGCTGACCACCTCCAGCAGTGAGCCGCCTTCGCGCCACACATGCTTGATGCAGGCGGCCACGCACTCATAGGCCGCCTGCTGCACCCAGAAGACTAGAAGCCGGCGCGCGGCGAGCATATAGCGCTCGCGGGTGACCCGCGCCAAGCGAGCGTCACCGAAGGGCTGGGCCTCGCGCCGCCGGCGCGTCGGCTGCTCGCCGCACCAGCGCCTCGCGGCTCACGGAGCAGGCAGCCCCATCAGGCCACGTCGAATTAGCGGGACGGGACGTCATCAGGGTTCTCGTCTGCATCGATGGGGGCGCACATCGGGTACTTGCCAGAGGCCAGGAGGTCTGCCGCGGGGCCGCGCATCCAGTGCCAGCGCCGTCGCGCGCTGCACCTCCCCTTTGCTCGGACACTGGCGGCGACCTGCGAACCCAGGAGGTGGAGGTGCCAGAACCGGAACCTCGCGGCGGTCCGCGACATCCACTTGATGGCGTTGACCGCGGCGCCGACCTCGAGCTCCTTGAGGCGGGCGTCCTCGCGCCACGGGTGGCCGTGTCCAATCGACCGCGTCCACAGGTTCGACCGCAACCCTGAGCGGACCAACGCCTTGGCTTCGAATGGCGCTTGCAGATCGAGCCCCACGTCCGCCCCCCCCCGCTGGCGGCCCCCAGGTACTCGAGGACCAGCTGCTGCGCGAGGTCCGTATCCAGCGCCCCCGTCGACTCGAAGTCGGGCGCGTGGCCCCAGGACTCTGGGGCTGCGCCGGCGATCAGGAACGGCAAGATGGGGGGCCCGCCCTGCTGGATTTCTTGAACCAGGAGCTGTGCGAGGACGTGCGCCACGACCTGCACCGAGGAGGAGTTGCCGATGAGCGACGACCTGATGACCCCTGTTCCTCGGCTCGGTACAGACTCCTTCACGGCAACACGCACACGGCCCGGGGGGGGGGGAATGGTCTCGCGCTCATCTGCCGAGGGGATCGGCCACGCAGTGCGCGAGGTGTTTCCACAGCAGTAACTGATCTTCAAAGTAGTACGATGGCGAGACGCACCTGGTCTCCGCCCCCCTCGCGATGGCGGCCTCGCTCCCGCCCCTGATATCCGCGCCCGGCGCTGGCGGCGAGGCCTGTTTGCGCAACTTTGCAGCGGTGTGGAGCGCGTGAGATGGACCGAGCCCGCCCCAGCCGTCCTCGGCCCAGGCAGGGAACTCCCTGGGGGCAACATGCAGCTTCACCTTGTGGCACCTCACCTCCCCGGTGACATCAATCACTCCTGTGCGCGGCTGCGGGGCACATGACAACCAGCAAAACCTTGGCATCCTAGCCAAGCTTCCGTACATCGCCTCGACCCTGCACGGCTTGGCCCCCGGCTGCCGCGAAATGGGGAGCGAGTCCTCCGCGTTCACCCCAGCGACTGCCTCAACGAGCTGGCGGGTCTGCCTCGCGCAGAGGGCCAGCTTGACAGCCTCGATGGCGCGCGGCCCCTCGAAGCGCAGGCTGCTCTTGTCGCCCGCGAGGGCCCTGCTTGGTCGCGCGGAGCCCGCTGAGGTCGGAGCGCGGCGAGCTGGCAGTCGCAATGGCGGCGCTGGCGGTCTCGGCGGCTGGGCGCGTGACCTCGGCCTGGCCCTGGGAGCTGAGCTTGTTGATGTCCTCGAGCTCGACCACGCCCGGCCACCGCTGCCACTCGCGCCGCTTGGCTGCCTCGTCGATCACCGACGACGCGCGCGCAGCCACGCGGCGCGGGCACCGAGGCAGCGCCGCCCAAGCTGCGCCCACGCTGCAGAACAGGTCGAAGAGTGCAACGGCGGGCAGCGGGCAGCTCTCCATGAGCAGCATGGGCGGGAGCTGGGCAACCATGGCACCCCTCGGGGTGAGAGCGGGCGCCTCCTCGCCTACGTGCTTGGCTACTACCGCCACCCCGTATTCAATGGGCCCTGTCAAGTAGCACAGGCCACCGCCCTCCTCGCTCGCGTCGGGGGCCAGCGCAAACGAATCGAAGGGCGCCCGGATGTCAGTGAACGTGAGCGGCAGAAGGCTGATGGCGGACAGCAGCTCGGCGCGGGCCCCGCTCGGCAGCTTGAGCGGCTCGGCCAGCGCCTTGCCCTCGCTCTCGGAAGCAGCCCCAAGCCCAGGGGCAATCCACACCTGATTCAGCGTGGCGAACAGCGGCCGCCCGAACACAAAGGCCCGCGCCAGGCGCCCCAGGATCATAAGGCATGCCTTGTGGGTCACCCACGCTGTCTCCAGGAGCCACCTGGCCGTGCGCCCGATGTCGATGAGGTTATCGATGGTGTTCGCCATGCGCCCGGCAGTGCTGTCCACTAGGGCCCACATGCTGACAACGCGCCCCACCCTGCCGGCGGCCTTATTCTCCGCCCACGGAACCCCTGCATTGCGGTGGGCCTCCCGCTGTCTGAGCCGGCGCAGCGCAGCCGGCAGCCCGCGCAGGTGGGGCGCGCCCGACTGGTTGCACGACGACCACAAGTGCGCCTGTTCCTCGCCCAGGACGGTGACAGTCCAGGAGGAGCTCGGCGCGGGGCTGACGAGGTCCGTCTCGGCAATCCGCTGACACTCGTTCTGCGGGGCCATGTTGAAGAACAGCTGAGTGACCTGGGTGACGCAGTCCGCTGGGGTGCTCTTCCCAACGACAGCGAACGCCCCTGCAGCCGCAGCTCCCCGTCATAGCTGAAGATGCCCTCCTCCACGATGGGCTTGCAGATGCCCAAGTTGACGGGGTGCTCGCCGATGGCGCACCACACCTCGTCGCTCCCCACCTGCACTGCGCCCTTTGGCACCCTGCTCGGCCACTCAGCTACCGGCTTGAAGAGACACGACGGTATCAGGAGCCACTCCTGGACATGAGGGGCGGCCAAGTTGATCGCCTTCATCGACCGCGCTGGGCCGGCGGCCGGCAACCCGGGCATGAGCTCGCCCAGCGCCGAGGGGCATGCTCTCTGCGCCCCCTGCCCGCCGCGCGACATGCCCCCGCCCCCCGCGACCTGGCCCCAGTCGAGCTCCCCCAGTTTGGCAAGCGGCTGCCGGCAGAAGCAGGCCGCCGCCTCGCCGATTAGCGCCAGCGCGGCGCGCCGCCCCCAGCTTGCGAGGCGCGGCCCCGCCAGGGGCGGGCCGCCGGCGCGGCCCGTGGCCTCGGAGTTGAGCCCGCTGACCACGGCCCACTCGAGCCCCCCGCAGCATCCTTTCCCCGCGAATTCGGCGTCCTGCTCCGCCTGCTGGAAGGGCCTGCTGGAAGGGCCCCTGCCGCGGCAGGGGGGGCGGGGGGAGGTCTCTGCGACGCGCCCCCCGCGGATCTGGCTGAGCCTCACCAGCTGGGCGGAGCTGCGCCCCGAACTCGCCCGGGCCCTGGCGACGGGCGCCACCCGACGCCATCGCGTGCTCGACCCGGGCCACGCTGCTGCTGCTGCCTGCGACTGAAGCGCCTTCACTGCTGGGCGCCCCGCCTGCGGGGGGCTGAAGTGCGGCCGCCCTCGATGTCTCCAGCGGCTGTGCACGTTGAGGATGGGCGGGCGAAGCCGCCGCCCTATCTCCGCGACCGACTCCCATGTCCCGAGTCGGGCCATCACTCGACAACCCTAGCTCCCCCCGTCGACTCTGGGCTCCGCCTTCAATTTGCTGGTCCTGCTGGCGTAGCCCTTGCTGCTCTCGTTTGCAAGTCGAGGGTGCCGCGCCTGCAGCTGCTTGAACGCTGGGCCGCTGGATGCTGCGGGCCGCTGGGGGCCCGGCTCCGTCGGCGAGTCCGGCGCCGGCGTCGCGCGGCGCGCTGGCCCGGCCCCCGCTCTGGCCCACGCGAGGGCGCGCCCCCTCGGGCGACCGCCCCTGGCCGAGCCCCACGAAGGATGTCTTCTTCTGCAGGGGCCTCGACCACAGCTCCTGGCGCCTCAGCTCGGCGCGCGCCCCGCGCCCGGCCGCCATCTCTACCCGCCGCGAGGCCGCGCTGGGCTCCGCGTCGACCAGCGCGAGCGCGAGCCGCCGCGCAGCGTGCCAGCCTCTGTCCTTGATGGCCTTGATCCTCCCCTTGAACTCCTGCAAGTCCACGTCGAGAGCCTGCGTCGCCTGGCCCATGAACGCGAGATCCAGCACTCGAGTCTGTGTCCAGAACAGACTGGCCCCCGCGTGCCCGACAGTTTTTTTCCCCCGGGGGGGCAGGACCAAGGTTACCTGTCTATCTGGCTGGGGCAGCTCCAGAGGCTGCCTCTTCCTTCTCCCGAACTCGTTCCAGGAGGGCCAGCATTCGATGGGGTCTGTGGGAGGCTGTCTGGCCTCGCACTCAGAAGACTTACTGCATGCTGCATGTGCCCCACTCCTCGCCTTGACGACTGGGTCACTCGCGCGGATATTTTGCGCGAGTGAAGGTGGGGGGCATTCGCGACCCAACAAAAAGCAACGTCGCGTGGTGTGCGCACCACATGTCGTGCAGAAATGCAGGACGGCCTCGCTCGATCTGTCGTCATTGTCAGATCTGGTGACAACAGCGTGGGCCAACGCATGGCCCACGTCAAAACTGAAAACGCCCTTCCAGGTTTTGCTCGGCCCAGGGCAGCCACGCCAAAGGGCGAGTTTCAGCATCTTTGCTGAGCAGAAAACATATTATACATCTTGCTCTACCGTCATCTTGCTTCTCCCAACAGTGCCACCCCCCAGATTTGAGGAACCTTGCCCGCGGTCCCGGGGGTGGGCGCTCGAATTTTCCCCTCGGGAACACGCAGAACTCTGGCCAGCACACGGGCCGCAAAAGCTAGCTTGTCCAAGGAAACATTCAGCACCTCCGAAAACTGGGGAGAAGGCGAAGGGTGGAGGGAGAGGGAATGCTTGGCGAGGGCGTCTGCGTTCCAACTCCCAACTGCTATTCTTCTCTCTCTGTCAGGGAGGGAGTCGATGACGCTTCTAGCTCGATGGGCAGGTGTGTGAGGCACTTCGGGCACATGATCCCGTTCCTCGTGTAAAAAAGCTCCTCTCCTCATTCCTGCACGCCGATGTCGCTGATCCACTTGATGAGAGGGATCAGTTTCACATAACTTCACTGTGTCTCACTCCAGAGTATGGCACGAAGAACGGGATCAGCGACATTGCCTGGTGCTCCGCCGCCTGCGGGGTCTGGGGCAGGACGTCCCAGACGGCTCCTACGGCATAGGCAATGATGTCCTCATCAGGGCCTAAAAAGATCCAGGCGTACGCGGCCCTAGAAAGTTCTCAAATTGTGTGCCGTGCACACGATCCGTCCATGCAAACATCGCATCCTCTTAAGTCGATACTCCCCCAAGGCACTTCCTCCTTCTGTGGGTTGAAGAGGCGGGGGGTGGGGTCACTGTGAGGGGGAGGGTAGCTGTTTTCAGGGTGTTCCATCTTCAGTTCATCCCAGAAGCTCCTGCAATCACTTTTGGCTGCCTCCTGCAGCCATCCTGCATTATCACCTGCAACTTCTAGGCGCACAGCTACTACTTCAGGGTGCTGGCGAGGCCGGCGGCGCCGCCTTCGCGGCGGCGCTCGGGCGGCGCCTCGTCGGCGGGGCAGCCGCCGGGCGGCGCGCGGTGGCAGGCGCCTGCGGCGGCGGCGACCCCGAGCGGCGCGGCGGCACCGCCCGCCCTGCTCTGCGGAGGGCCGCTTCGAGATCCAGGATGTGCGGGCCCTGCTCGTCTCGGAGCACAGGCGCGCAGTGCCGCCCGGAAACCATCACCTTGCTCAGCCTGCCGTGGCGCGTCGCCAACGGGGCGTCGTTGATGATTTCGCGGGCGACGAACCGCCGAGCCTCAATGTCCAGAGCCGCGGAAGCACACATTCGTCACGGGGTACGCAGGGCACGCGCAACAGGTGCCCACGCCCGCGTCATGCCGCGCGATCCGCGCGCAAATCGCGCCACCAACAAATTCAAGTTTGGCAATCCGCTTTCGCGCCATTCGGCGCGGCCAAGCGTGCCAGAAAATTGCCCCACAGGGCACGGGGATGGCCGAGAAGAACCCCGAAATGATACGACGAGACGACCCCGCTGGGACCAGTGCTCCAGGGGGGGCTCTGGCAAAATAAAGTCCCAAGAAGCTCCTCGATAAGCTTATCATGAGTTTCTTCTCGTGAGCTTCTCAAGCGCTTCTCATACGCTTCTCATAAGCCTCGCAGTCGCTGCCCAAATAGTTCTCATACACTTATTACAAACTAGCCATGCAATTCTCATAAGCTTATCATGAGCTTGTTCAAGCGCTTCTCACACGCTTCTCATAAGTTTATCATAGTTTCTTATAGTTTTTCATCTGCCTCTCATAAGCTTCTCAAGCGCTTCACATAAACTTCCAAGGAGAGAAACCTCCGTTTATCTTGGGTGTTTGGAATGGCACCCATGTTGGTTGGGAAAAGGATCACAGTGGTTGACATGTCGTATAGTTGGTCGTATTTTCTGCAATTTCCAGTTCGACCCCCCCCTTCGGATCGTCGCCTGCGTCGACGCTCCCAACCGGCGCCGCCGGTCCAGCGCCGACGCCGGCCGGCCCGAGGTTGGGAGGGGGGGGGTTCGAACCCCCCCACCCCCTTGAATCCACGGAGGGAGGCCCGGTTCCGCCCCCCGTCCCCAAACGCCTACAGAATGCGCTTTTTCCCAAATAAATGTTTCTCTTTTTGTTTGTTGTTTGTTTTTCTCTCTCTCTCTCTCTCTCTCTTTCTTTCTCAGTTTTGCTTGTTTTTCTTTTGGTGTGTTTTTTGTTTTTCTCTCTCTCTCTCTCTCTCTTTCTCTTTCTCTCTCTCTCTCTCTCTTTCTCTCTCTCTTTTTCTCTCTCTCTCTCTCTCTCTCTCTCTCTCTCTTTTTCTAAAACACCACTACTCCGAACATCGCGGCATGAAGCGGGGGTCGCCTATCAGCGGGGTCGCTGTTCGTGGCGTAGAAGAAGCAGTCATAGTGCTTTTGAAACACCAATGAACTCTTCACAATCTTGTGGTCCGCCGGCCAGGTCTAACTGGCAAGAGCGCTGAAGTAGAGATCTGGCTGTGCGCGGATCCGCTGCCCCCGTGGAGGGAGGCCAACAGTCGCAGCCAGAGAGTGGAAAAAAGGAAGTGTAGGTGGGAGGGGGGGCATAGCGACTTGAAAGGGAGAGGAAATGAAGGGCAGAGGGGGTGGCAGCGAATCGAGGAGAATCTACATCACCCAACTTCGCGCATCGCGCCCTGCGATGCACGACGCGCGGTTATCTTCGCTCCCTCGCGAGGCCATCTTGGAAAAAGGCAGCTCCCCGGCCGAGGCCTCGACGCGAGAAGCGCGATTATCTTTGCGCCCCGTGGGGGCTGCCTGGGGAACGGCCAGGAGGGAGACTGCAATGGCACGGGGTCAGACGCATGGTCTTCCATGCGCAGGCCGCGGCCGCGGCCGCGCCGACCGATTGACAAGGGTCAACTGGCGAGGGGCGCGCAAGAAATGCTGCGGGCGGCTCGGCGACGGCCTTTCCCGACTAGTTCAGGGCGGTGTCCCAGCCGACGACGACGCCGTCGTAGTGCTCCGCGGCCACGGTGGCCGCAAGCGCCGCCAGCCTCGTGTCCTCGGGAGCGCTCGGTGACCGCCAACGCGCGCATGGGAGGCGGCGGTGGCCGAGCAAAGATGCAGATGCGGGCGTGCACACGAGGGGTGGCTGGCCCCAGGAGGGGCAGGCGTTTGATGTTTTTTCCTCCTAACCCTCCCTCCTCTTCCTCCTGCTGCTGCTGCTGCTGCTGCTGCTGCTCCGTATCAGCATCAGCATCAGCATCATCATCATCAGCATCAGCATCAGCATCAGCATCAGCATCAGCATCAGCATCAGCATCATCATCATCATCATCATCATCATCATCATCATCATCATCATCAGCATCATCATCATCATCATCATCATCATCATCATCATCAGCATCATCATCAGCATCAGCATCATCATCATCATCATCATCATCATCATCATCATCATCATCATCATCATCATCATCAGCAGCAGCAGCAGCATCAGCATCAGCATCAGCATCAGCATCAGCATCATCAGCATCAGCATCATCATCATCATCATCATCATCATCATCATCATCATCAGCATCAGCATCAGCATCAGCATCAGCATCAGCATCAGCATCATCGTCATCATCATCATCCGCCCATTCATCTTCTCTCATCCCCCATTCCTCCCATTGCGAACAACTCCTCCGGAGCCTCGGGTCTGCCGGCCGGGTCTTGTGAACGTTTTCGTATTCGGCGCTTCGACATGGGGCACGGGAGGGGGGCGGCTCCAGACGTCTGCTTAAATGCGATGGTTTGCGACAGTGCGTCCCATGTGGGAGACTCTACCTGCTTGAAACAGGCGCCAAAAACAGCCAAGATCTACTCCAGGGGGGGGGAAGGGGGTGCGAGGGGCCCCCGGCGTGGATCTTGACGGCTCAGCTCTCGTGTGACGTTTGCATCCGCAGCGGGAACTCGCGCCAAAGTTTAGACTAGGTCCCGTAGTGTTTCTGACGACCCCGTCGGGCTAATTCGAGTGCCCCAGATCCAAGCCGTATGTCGCCTCGAACATGGCGGAGCACAATGCCGACGCATTTCTTGTTGACACTTCGGTGGCAACTCAAGGGAGCCTCCCATACCACTCGTCGGCTCCTGTGAACCTGCGCTAATCGACGCTAGTCGGCGCCAAATCGACGCTGAATCGGCTCTAGTTCATCGACTCCCAAACGCTATATAATCGACGCTCGTCGACGCTAGGCTCACATGATTTGCTACCGAATGACACGGGAGGTCTTCCCAGGTTGAGATGCTGACAATGAAATGGAGCCCCTCGCGGAGCAGTCCGGAGCGCCGTCAGAGCCAGGCCGCGCGCGGCGCGCGGCCCGCGAGCTCACCGTGGCGGCGCAGGCCCGTGGAGCCAGATGGGCCCGGGGAAAGAGGGAGGGGAAACAGGTGGAGGAACTAAAGAACGCCCTCGTTCGCTTCTCGGGTCCGGCGCAAAAGAGGCGGGATAGCAAAGGAGGGCTGAGCGAATCAGCTCACGTAGCTCGTGTTCTCGGCGCCTCCCGGCGCCTCCAGGGCGCTGGGGTATCGACGAAAGCGCCTGGCGGCGAGGAGCCTCGTGGAGGGGCTGGGGACACCAGGGCCCTCCCATCAGGTCGGGACAGCCTGCCCTTGCCTGCGGTCGGACCAGTCGCGTGGAAGGCACCGGGCGCGCCGCCGACTCCCCTCCCCCCCCCCTAGAGCGAAGGCCTCCTAGATGGGGTCCGAATAGACGGGGTCGGAGGAACTCGCCGCATCGCCGATACATCGGCGATGCATCGCCGATGCGTGGGAGATGCATCGGCGATGCACTGGCGACGTCGGCGATGAATCGGCGACGTCGGCGTGGAGAAAATCGGGCCCCACATCAAGCCGCATCGCCGAAGCATCGGCGATGCAGCGCGATCGCCTACACAAAGCGGGCCCCAGCACCGACACCCGGGCGTCCTCGAAGGTCTCGGCGTCCTCCGCTGGCCCGCCGGAGGATTCGATGCCCACGCGGCGGAGCTCGTCCACGAGGCCCTGGCCGCCTGGCCCGGTCGCGGCGCGGCTCTCCGCGCCGTCGACGGCCACGACGACGGCGATTGCTGCGGCGGCGGCGGCGACGACGACGACATCATCATCAGCTCTGGGCAGCGAAGGGTACGGGAACAATCCAAGCCTGTGAAGCACACCCTGCTTTATAGAGTATAGTCGGCACGCGGGCCCACGACATGGGCTCTGGCCTGCTCGCGCCCTGTAGGGGGATTCGGGGCGAGATAGCACCCCCGCTAGGGCCCACAACTATGGGTCAGTCGAGCGAACAAGCCGAATTTTACGCAGAGGTGCCGAATTCGCGGCCGAGACGGATGCGGGGACAGAGGGAGAGGGGGAGCCCTGCACAATTGTATGTAAGATTTGTTCGGGCGAGTTCTGGCTCGGCAGCGACTTAGCTCTAGACTTTGCTTTGGCCTTTGGGTGGGCCTTCGCTTTCTACACAAAATGAACGGCGGCAGACTGCGACACGAAACCCTGTTCAACGAATGTAGCGAATCTCGAACTGCTAGCCCGAAGTCGATTCTGAAACACTACATTGGGGTCTCGAGGGGCTCTACTTCTAACTACTGGCCCTTCATGAAGTGGCCCAACAGCTTCTGGGCCTCGCGCTCCAACGAGCCGCGCGGCGCCGCCCCGCGCTTCTTCGCCCCGCTCCGGAGGCGGAGGGCCTTGAGCAGCACCTCCTCCAAGTCCGCCTTCGAACGGTCGAACGCGATGGTCAGCCGCGCCGTCTCCCGCTTGCTCTCCTTCCGCTTGGTCTCCTTGACTTTGCAGTGCTTCACGTCGTTGACAAGGTCGTCCAGCGTCGGCTCGTCCTGGACCTGCTGCGCCCAGTACGCCTGCACCTTCTGCAGCCCCCCCCCCGCCATGGCCCTGTCGCCCTCCGCCTTCCCAGCGCCCAACAGTAGAGCCACCCGCATATGAACAGATGGTGGCCCCTGCTTCTGGACCGCGGTCTCCTTCCCCCTATTCCTGGATCTCCGCGATCTCCTGCGACCTCGCATGGCGCGCGCGGCCCGTCGCCTTCGTCTGCGTGAAGATGAGGCAGGATGTCGGGGTGATGAACGCGCGGGCCGAGGTCCCGGCCAGGCTCAGCTTGGCGATCAGGAGGACCAGCTGCAGCAGCTTGCTCTGTTGGTCGCCGTCGCTGGTCGCGATCTTGTGCGCCCTGCGCCTGGCGCCCGGCCCGTCGGCGTCGCCGCCGGCCACTTGCTTGGGCGCCCGCTGGGGGGGAGGGGGGGCGCGGCCGAGCAGCGGCGGCGCGCGAAGCTGGCGAGTGCGAGCTCGAAGGTCACTCAAAACTCCAGCCGAACAATCATACAACGGGCACATCAATGATGACGGTGCTATCAGAGCCGCAAGCGTGCGCGGTTGAGCTTTGCATTTGCCGCGTTGATGAGCAGACTGAACACGACGCAAAGCCATGTCCTTACACGAGTGCACACTCTGACAATATGGGCACTGATTAGCGACGACGATGAGGTTCAGCGGGTCGTGGATGTTATGGCGCGTGATGCAGTGCTGTTCGAGTGCCTATACGTACAGAAACGAGCAGGACAATCAGCACGTTGACAACACCAATGTTTCTAACTTGCCCGAGTCGAAGTTTGCGCGTAGATGTTGCGCGGGCGAGTTCGCCCCCATCACGTCGGCTCCGCGGTTGTCCGTTTCGGCCCCTGGCGGCGGAATACAAACCGAATAAGTCTCAGCCCTCGCAGCGGCAACATCCAGCCGGAGAAGATCTCGAGCAAGGTGATGGTCCCAAGACAGCAAAAGTACGCTGGTCCCTACTCGTCCCCTAAGTCCATGAGCGTCGTCGAGTCGCAGGGCGGCTCTAAGATCCTCTTGAAACTGCAGGGCCCCGGGGTTAGCTCCAGGGCAGACCTCGACATTTCGCGCCGTCGGTAGACCTTCCAACGAGAGCCGTCCGAATAAGGCTGTGAGTAGCGGAGCATGGCGTTCTGGGCGTCGCACAAGAGCGCGCCACTATCCTAGTCGACGTGCCTGCAGTTCGGAAGCCTCCACCACCTGAACGCCCCCCTGTCCGATGACGTCCTAATCCCCCTCGTCGTGCCCCGCCTAGCCTGACCCATCACTGCTTTTCGCTCAGCGCTAGCGATGAGAGAGTCGAGATGACGAAGTTGACGAGCTGAGAGGACATATACTTCTACAGTTGCAAGCGAAGTATTCTGAACTTTGCCAATGGAGACATTGCGCTTAAAATGATGAGGTCCCCTGGTGCACCAAAACTGGCCCATGGAATTAAAAAATTCGGCTGTGGTTTTCCGTATGAACTGATGTCCCGGTCCGAAAGATGGGCGCAGAGCAAGCCGGCCACCCAGAAGTCGAACAACACTCTTGACTTCACCTGGGAACTTCAATGCACCGTCGCGGACGCGGCGCACCCCCTGACGAGCTCCAGCCCCGCAGAGACGCGGCAACACTTCAAGATTTTCCCGATTCGCTCCAGATCACAATCCAAGAGCTCACTGACTCGATGGCTCTTGCGCTCTAGATCTCCCAGTGGGCGACCTCGAGGAAGTACAAGTTGCCTACTTAAGTCGTCGGCGCAACCTGTAAGAGCCAAGTCAACCTGCTTGCTCGGGTCCAGAAAAACGATTCGCGGTTAAGATGCCCCCCGTCCTCTCCGCCTCGTAATCCTCAACCTCAAATTCCTTGACCGTTCGACTCCATTCATCCAGAGCGGGCTGAAAGGCTTCCACAGAAATGCATACTTGCCACGGGTCGCCCATCAAACCGCCCTGCTGCATCCTCATTAGCACCTCCCCATCCACTCTCATCAAAGACACCAAGGCACATCTGTAGCGCTGTTGTCCCTGGAAGAACAAGTGAATGGGCATCATTCTACGTTGTGCGACATCCTGAGCTGATCATGCGGCACTAGCGAAGGCGTTGCTGAGAACATGGAACATGGTGAAAGAGCTCAGCTTCAACTTCTCGAACCTCCACGCCGCGACTTGTCGCGTGAGAATTGGAGCCTCACGGCGACGATGTGGGATGCACCCATGCATGCAATCAGAGCGTCGAGGCGCCTCAAGATGAGCAGCGTACCACCATGTACCCATGACTGCCGGCAGGTGTATGACCCGCTTGCTCTTTGGGCCCGTAACGTCACCACGCTTATGAAGTCCTGCCCCTCGACTATGATGCCAATAGATCGGCGCGCAGCTAGACTGATGTAGTTGGCATAGAGCTCACCCTAGGAGATCCCGAACTCGAACGTTCTCAACTGGAGCCTTTCCAACCCCAACTCCCAGACCTCTAGTTGATATCGAGCGGGTGGGGCGCAGGGTCGCGTGCCAGACCTCCAAGGGGGCGGCGCCCACAGGGCGCGCCATCCGTTTTTTTTGTTGCCTCAATAACATACTCCTGGAGCATTTCGACGTCGTTCCTGGCGAGCTCGGGGACCTCCGGGTCCAACTGCGCGGTCGCACCTGGGACCGCGAATTGGTTCCTCCACTCCTCGAACGACGGCGCCTCCTCACACAGCGTGCCTCCTTCCGCCCCTGGCTTTTTCCATGCCTCCACCCACTCCTTCTTCGTTGGCTGTCCAACTTGGCCGGCTCGGCAATCTCAATTTTTTCGCCCCCAGCGAGAACCCCAAGAGACGAGCCCAATGATGGGCCCCACGATGCCCACGTTGCCTCCATGCCGCATGCAATCCTTCAAGATAATGCCCCTTCCTGGTATCCCGCGCGGCGCGGCGGGCAGCTCCGAGTCTACGAGACAGAACGCGTAAATGTGCTTCAATCTCCTCCAAGCGTGCATCATCAGCCGATGACCGAGATTCACGCAGTTCCCGTCGTCGATTGATGAGTATGGACAAGCGCTCGGTCGCATCCTCCCCATAGTCCCTCGATGGCGATGGCTCTGTCCTAAGATGCCACTCGAGCGCAAACGTTCCCCACATATCCCATCAAACTGTCAGGATATAAGTTTGACAAGTGCTGTTGCCAAATAGGTCCTTCAGCCTCCACAGTCGAATTTAGCTCCGTGGGGAAAAATGCCCTGCCCTGGCCAGTAGTAACCGCCAGCATAAGTGACATCATAGTTCCAACCTTGGCTCCTGTGCTCAACTGTGTCGTGAGTGAGGGCGTAATGAAATGCCAAACTGGCTGGGGCATGATCTCGAAGTCTACGAGTTGAAATAGATTGCAACTGCCTTCCCAACTGATGAAAGGGGTCCCGCTTGAACGACGTGGTCGATAAGAGAGCTACGATAATGAGGGCCAACGCACGCGTGCCCACCGCGAGTCGATGTTTACAAATAAAGCCCATGCAATTCACAAGTCGCTCGAACCCGAGAACCTGCCATGCGTTCTGGCCGTGCTCCCAGATAACCTATTACTGTGGTCTGCTGGTACACGAATTCGCGACCAACCTTCTGCTGGCCCATGCCGTCATTGAGGTCCATCATGATGAAGGGGGGAGTGCGGTGTCGGCAGCGGTTAAGCTGATCATGCAGCCACGTGACCAGGGTGCGGGCCGTGCGCTCGTAGAGGCTGCGCTCTTTCCACTTGGTAGCACGTGGAGGAAAGTATAAGACAATCGTTTGCACATCATATTCTCCTGACACCAGCCTGACGCTCAGCCCCCAACCTTGTACAGCTTCAAGCGGAAGTTGAACCTCTCGTATATGCCCGGAGCGAAAACGATTCCCGAAAACGAGAGAAACTCCAGCCGACTTGTTTGTCAGATGCGATGGCGTCCAGCCTGCGCCCAGTACGAGACGACCTTCACACTTGAACTGAAAAGCTTCCAGTGTATCAGGTAGCCGGGTCAGAGAGCGCCGTTGGGTACCCACAAGGCCGACCAGGTCGTAAAAGGAGGTGCCCTTGATGATCTCCGCAAGCCGCAGGCCCGTTGCCGAGAGCGGGTTATACAGCAAGGTTCGCCATACTCTGGTCGCCATCCGTCGCGCGCCCCAGCAGGGGCCGAACCGACATTCAGTTCGGGCGAGCACCTCGGTGTGTGAATGTGGTTGCAATGCCTTGTCGCCAGCAAAGAATGCTAGGACCAGACGGCGACTCGACGACGACGACGACGACGACGACGACAACGACGACGACGACGACGACGACGACGACGACGACGGCGGCGGCGGCGGCAACCACGAAGCGCGCGACGACGACGACGACGACGACGACGACGACGACGACGACGACGTGCCGACACCGTCGGAGCGCCCGTCGTGTTTGCCGCCGCCACGGGGCAGTGGGGACAGTGGGGACAATGGGCAGAAAGGGACCATGGTGGGGACAGTGGTGGGGGCAGTGGGAAGACTGGAACCGTGGTGGGGACAGTGGTGGGGACAGTGGTGACAGTGGTGGGAGGAGTGGTAACAGTGGGGACAGTGACAGTGGTGGGTACGGTGGTGGTGGGGACAGTGGCGACGTCGGCGGCGGCGGCGTGGCGGGCGGGCGGGCGGGCGGGCGGCGACGGCGACGGCGACGGAGACGGAGATGGCGGTGGCTGGTGCAGACCGCGGGACCCCCCAGGCGCTAACCAGCCAACTTGGCGCAGAACGAGCGCTGGGGCAACTGCGAGTAAGGAGAGGGGGAGGCGGCGGCAGGCGAATCGCGACAGCTCCCGAATGGAGTGCATAACATAAGGCCCATCCTTGCGGATATCACTCCTTTTGAGGTCCGCGGAGCCCCACGCCATGCTCCCCCCTCTCCAACTAAGGAAACGTCGAGGGGAACGAAAACGGAAACCCCACGAGCTCGAGTCGTGTGGGAGTGGGGAAAACAAGTGCCCCCCAAAAACCATGTGAGACCTGCCATACTATGGTTCGCACTCCATCAGAAGTCGATTGAACATGTCATTACGTAACTGACACTCGATGGCGCAGACAGGCTTCTTGAACGGCAAGGGTATACAGAACTGCCCATGTGCCAGAGTATGACTTTTCCGAGAGGAGGGCTTCACGTCGAGCAGAGCTGCTGGAAAAAGAAGACACGTTCAATGCCAATGCCTACCTGAGCAGCAAACTACGATCGAGTTTGATTGGAGAGGACGCGCTAGAGGACACAAGACCCTTACAAGGGCCACATTGCCACAGGCGTGTAACTAGAGGGCAGGGGTCGCGAAACACACGACATAAGGAGAGCATCGTTTGTTCGCGGCGATAACAATCGTTGTGGAGGGGGGGGGAAGAGGGGGGGCGGGGGAGGCATAGAATAACGCCTCCTCCCCTCGCCGCAGGGGTCCGGCACCCCAGAGTGCGGTGCCGGACGCACTGCGGCAGTGCCGGGGACGCCGTGGGGAAGGGGAAGCGTTACGTTGTGGGCGGGGGAGGGGGGGGACATAACGCGAGTTATGGCCCAGAGGGTGCACTCTCGACCCTCGATTTGGCAGGGCCGATCTACTACTCAAACCCGTCTGTACTCACGGTGCCGCTGAAGTCCCCCAAGCCATTCGGGGGCGCTGGCCCCCCAGAATCCGCGGGACACCGGGCCGACACAGCCGCCACGTTGGGCTTCCCCTCGCTGCCTATGACGTAGACCCGCTGGGCACTGGGGTGCTCCCGGCTGATGTAGCGCGCGGCGAACACGCCAGAAGTCGGGGAACAAATGCAGGAAGATAATGTCATGACAGAATTGGCTCAGGATACATTTCAGGATTTCGAGGATACCCAACGGCCCTTGCCAATGAAGCGCGTGTGGAAAATTTGGGAAGGCTGCAAATCCTGGAAACTTGGAAATCCTGGAACGTATCATTATCATGACCTCTTGCTCCTCTGAAAATCCATGGCGCAAACATAAACCGTAGGAGGCCCGCGCGGATGTCTCATAATATCGGCGCCGGACCCCCCTGGCGGCGCCAGCGGCCGATCCAAGAAATCCACGTGGACCTCCGAACGTTCATGTGTGTGCCATGACTGCTCCCCGAAGCAGGAACGCACTCGTCCGCGACGCAGTCGACGCCCATGCCAGCGAGCTTCTCCTGCAGCTGCTCGCTGCTCCTGGGGCGGCTCGGCTCGCGGGCGCAACGCACATCCGCATCCGCGGCCTCGCGGGCCAGGCCCTCGGGCCGCCACGCCGCAGAGACGGGGCGCCGCGCGGAGGGTGTCCGCACGACC